AACAACCGGACGTAACTTTGTGGGAGAGCATCTTCATCTCCAGAGGCTCTTGGAGAATCATTGATGGCCGGATGGTGTTTGCGAGCAACACATGATGATCCGAACGAGTCCCAAAGACTTAACTAATGTAACGTTGGCTTACAAAAGTGAATCAAGATCTTCGAGAGAGCGAGAGAGTTAATTTGACCTTGTATGCAATGTGTAGCCTTCAGTGCGTGTAATAAAAGGGAATGTTAACCCGCGTGAAAGGTAAACGTCGTACCTGAATCCCGCCCAAGATGGTAAGTGTGCAGCAGAATAGTTACTTCAACCAGAGAAAGTCATAGAGAAGAATGCCAGAGGGGGCATACTACCTAAGGCTGTTGTATCGAGCCAAGATTCGTATTTCAGCCCGTAATCATTAGATGGGCGCTGAATAAGACTTGTGCAAAAGTCAGAGATCATGTACTCAGCACACGATATTCCCGCCAAGGCTTAAACCCTAGGACGTCCGTACTTCAAGTGGTTATGTGAGCTCTCACAATCAGTTGGGTCGTTGATGGAAGGATAGGATGATACTTTTCTCGTCCTCGTACAGGGTAAGAATATATCATTTGATATCATAAGTTAGGGGCTTTTCTGAATAATCTGTGAACCTCCTTTCCGAGTTTCCTCACGGAAAACACTAGTTGCCGCTGGCCAGAACACCTCAAAAGCTACGATGTACCAGCTAACTTTTTCATTGGCCACTGTTGGAAATTCTACGATATGGTGTTGGCCACACACACTTATTAGAATATATCACATCACTAGCGTTTGGTTGGTTAGTACACGGTCTAACCCCCTTGAGGGTGATGAGGAATGTGATTTGCAATTTTCACTTCCACTAAAGTGACCCAATGACACCTCTAATATCGCACTCAGCAAAGAGAGAGATACATCTACCCTCGCCATCATGGCTGGAGTTATGCTACGTGGTAGCCAGCAAAACGTGGCCCGTGGTTCTTCGTCGGCTTAGTAATCCGCGTGCCTCGGCTTTGGCTTCGGTATTCAAGTATGACTATGCTGGGGTAAATGGCCACGCATGTGGCGTTCAAAGGTGTGTAATGCCTCATACCTCGGGGTTAAGGGGGTTGTCCTGGGACACGTGCTTGACCCACTGTGTTGACTGCCTGGGGTCGGGGATTTATCATGGGGCGATAACCCTTGGTTATCACGGTAGTGTCCCTACTCTTTTATAAAATGAGACTGGTGAGGATGGAAATCTTTCCCGTTATTACCGTCAAGGACCCAGAAGAGTCTCCCTACAGGAGGCCAATCATAGCGCGACACGTGTCGACATCAGAAGCCAATCATAGCGCGACACGTGTCAACATCAGAAGCCAATCACAACACGACACGTGTCAATGTCAGAATGAAACTAGAAACTTTCTTCTATAAATAGAGATCATTCTCTCACAATATTTCCTAATGTTATTTGTACTACATCATTCACTAGTACTCACTAAAGGAGAGCTTGAACCTATATACTTGTGTAACCCTTCACAATTAATGAGAACTCCTCTACTCCGTGGACGTAGCCAATCTGGGTGCATCAACACAACTATTTAAGTATCCACGGCGGAACTTGTTCCACTTTTCAATTGGTTACTCGATCTGGACTGAATTATTTGAATTAAATTAGACTACTATTAAGTTGTGTTTCTTAACTCTAAACGTTGGAACTAATTTAATATATTGGACAATATTTCAACCTATCGTGTCTTTCAAGTCTCATCCAGATGAGTGAGACTGTACAAACTTCGACTCAACGCATGTATTTTTCCGAAATCAAACAACTGTTTCTGAGCTCTCTATAATGTACAGATTGCCATTTTTCAAAAAGTAATAACATCATATAATACATGGAAAGATTTATTGCAGCATCAAGTACAAAGATTCACAAGATCAGAGAAGAATTTTGGAGAACAAGAAGAAAAAAAAAATATGAACACATACAATGCTTTTTTGACCTAATCCTTGCCTATAACAAGACCCCGGTTACCTTAGTTACCAGTCCAAAAATCAACAGAAACAGTGGACGCTGTCACGTTCATCTTCAACTACGGTTCACTAAAACCCTGTGCTTTTCGCTTTAGTGTCTAGAGGTTAAAATACATGACAAGAAGTTAGAAACTTAGCCACATTTTTCTGTAAACAAAAACAAAAATTGTATACGCATGCCTACTTCTTTCCGTCTTATAGATCGATAGTCGATACTTTCTTAGTTAGAGCAACAAGTTCTCTTGTTCATGTCGCTGGAAATATTTGCAACATTGATGGTAGTTCCTTGAGGAAGTCCAGTAGAAACTGCCTCCTGTGCTGCTAGTGCCTTCTTGCTTATTATGTGGTAAATGTCCAACAAAATGGTCTGAAACGCATTCTCGACATTGAAGGCCTCCAATGCTGAAGTTTCAAGGAACGAGAGACCTTCCTTCTCAGCCAAGATTTGAGCATCATCTGCCGGAACTGCTCTCAGGTGATTCAAGTCAGATTTGTTCCCGGCCATCATTATGACAATGTTAGAGTCTGCATGGTCTCTTAGTTCGCGGAGCCACCTCTGCGCATTGTCAAATGTTTGCCTCTTGGTTATGTCATACACCAATAAGGCACCAACAGCCCCTCTGTAGTAAGCACTCGTAATGGCTCGGTACCTCTCTTGACCTGCCGTGTCCCATATTTGTGCTTTCACTGTCTTCCCCTCTACCTGCATCGGAATAAAAGGATATATCTTGACGTAGAAGCAAGCAACTATTCCTTAAACTTAGATGACTAAAAAATCAAAACCAAGTGATGAATCGCTTCGATTTTAACAGCTGTTTGTCAGTAAAAGACGCGTCGTTTAGACATGTGAGATTGAGAAGGGTTTTTTTAGTATAAAAAATGATAATCCCATTCTGAAGTTCTCCACTATACATAACAAGAGAAGCCCTACAAGCCCTGCACAGAACCCTGCCACTAAACAATTCAATTACATCTGAAATCGGCTAAAATGGTATTGTAACACGGCAGGGTTGGGTAGATTTTAGATCCAACCGTTACCAAACAATATTCTGCAGAATGGTAGTTTGGTACTATACCTTAAACTGTATAAGTAAAGTTATATAATAACTTCTCATCCTTAGAGATTCACAGGCTATAAACAAATAGTTAAAAGTTGATATGCACGAAGGCTTACTAAAACTCAATCCATTGTTTTGGTAAGAAGAACCGCAACGATATGGTTACCAGACGGGCGCTAAAGTTTTTGTACTTCATAAAACTTTGCCTAAAGAGATCGAAATAAACTATCAGAAGACAATTATAATGATTTCCCACAATTCTATATATGATAATTTATTGCTTCACCATTGTTTCAATTCAAATAAAAATTAAAGAACAGAACAATATAAAACCAGGAAAATTGCAAATGATCAATATTTTCCAAAAAAAAAAAACCAACCTGCAATGTCCTAGTTGCAAATTCAACTCCAATGGTGGACTTAGACTCCAAACAAAACTCATTCCTCGTAAACCTCGAAAGAATGTTCGATTTTCCGACACCCGAATCTCCAATCAATACAATCTTGAAGAGGTAATCATATTCGTGATCCACCTTATACGCCATACGTTCTACTCCTCACACACACACACACACACACCACCCCACACCTGGCCAGATCCAAAATTCAACAAACAAAAAGCCATTAGCAATCACAATACCAAACAAATTAACCCATTCTCTCAGAAAGCAGTTTCATTTACCTACGTTTTCTTTCCAATGTGATTTTCCCGAGAAACAAACGGAAAGTGGGTAATCATAAAACAATGGCGCGCAGAATGGTGATCAACACGGTAGAAGATTTTTTGAACGTTAAGTTTTGTTGGGAATGTGTTTGCATTGAAGTTTTTGGAACCAGAGAAGAAGAAAAACAGAAACAACGGATGAAAATGCACTTAAAACGGCACTTCACGTGGGAAACGACGCACGGAATTCGGAGAGTCTCTGTAAAGTAAACGAACCCTTCACACGACATGCCGTATAAAATTTAAGCCCGTTCTCAATGTGGGCTTGTTGACCGAAAAAAGGCTATCAATGTGGGCTTAGGGCATATTTATGGCCCACTGAAAAACTCCAATAGGGTTTCTTATTTCTCTTCTAATAAAAACAATAATCACACATACAGATTATTTATTTCTTTTTAAACACTCATCTTTGAATTTATCGCATTGTTTTTTTTAACAAACGATAAATCAAACCTAAGGGGGTGGAAGAGTGGGTTAGATCTCACAATAGGCTAGCAATAATATGATTCAAATTTACATTTGGCGATAATCAAATTTAAGACCTCTCGATCACTTACAAGTGAAGATAAATATTTATAACATTGTTTAAAATAGATTTGATCTAATCTGATGATCAAAAATAAAAAAAAAAAATAGTGCAATTATCGTTTCCCTTGAAGAAGCTTAGCAATGCTTCATGAACTCTCACCATATTTTCAATTTTTGTTACAAACTTACAAGTACATATTATTTTTAAACGTTTTAAACTACATTTATCTTGTTTTATGTCAATTAAACGAATTTACAAAATTAATTTGGAGGAGTAAATAGTCATGTTAAAAATCATTGTTAGAACTCATAACCGCTTTGAAAGTTCAAAGGATAAATCGAGATAAAGATTTGGGTGTTTGGATACAGAAGTAACAAATGACTAAAATAAAGTTTAAAGAACCGACGTTCTAAAATAAAGTTTAAAGATTTGGGTGCCCTCAAGCTATGGCGATATGTTCGCTAGTCCATTGGGATTACATTCTATGCAACAAGGGGATATTGGGTTACAAGATTGGGTGGCGCGAGTGGCTTCCATTATGTCCAGGGAGTGCTTTGACTTAGTGCTTATGTTGCTATGGAACATTTAGAAAGCTCGTAATGAGCTATTATGGAAGGGCTCGGTTTTACCACCATAGGACATCCAAATTCAAGCACATACTTGGTTGATGGAATTTAAAAAGTGGAACGCGGTGCAACCGAAGACTAAGCTTGCCGAGGTACAGAAATGGTGGAAGCCGGAGGAAGGGTGGATTAAGTGCAATTTTGATGGGGCATGGGATGAGCAGAACAAAAGGGGAGGAGTAGGAATAATTATAAGAGATGCAGCTGGGGAATTTATTGCTGCCATGGCGTTAAAGCTGGAGGAGATTGCTTTGGCTTTAATGGCTGAAATTGCAGCGGCTCGTGAGGTTGCACTGCTTCTTCAACGATGGAATAGTCAGAAAGTGATATTGGAGGGTGATACTTTGCTGGTGATCATTGCTGCTGTTCAGAATAACTTGGATGTTAATGATGGAAATTTTGGTCATATATTAACTGATATACGGAGGCTGTTACAACCTGCTCAGCAGTGGAAGGCCAATTTTGTGCGACGTGATGCCAATGCAATGACTCACAGGTTAGCTCGGCGTGGTCTCACTTTGGCACAGCCAGTTTCTTGGTTTGAGAACCTTCCGATGTAATTTTTGATCTTATTTTGGAGGATAGTTTCAATTCTTAATTTAGTTTGGTACGGGACACTCATTTTCCTTTCTTTTGGGTTAATTCTCGGGAAAGTTTTTATCGAGGCTCATTCTTAGCACCATTTCCCTTTGATTGTACATTGTTCCCTTATGAAATGAATATCGTATTTGATTTAAAAAAAATATTAATAATAATAATTGATCCACATATGAGGTGAGTAAAATTAGGATACTAATTGGTTCACGGATTATTTCGTTTTAGACCAAAATTCAAACATGATAAGTTTAGCAAAGGAGTATTGCTGGGTAGATCAAAATTTAGACTAAATTTGCAAACCACATAACGTGTCATGCGTGGAGCCTAAAATAATCCCAAAAATTCTAGAGGCGACATGTGGACTTTTACTCGAGAAAGACAAGATTGCCCTCAATAAATGGGCAGGCTCCTTAGATACTCTCACGCGCAGTTCACACCCCTGAAGGCCCCTGAAGGTCTCAGCAGCTGAATACGACTGTCCACAGCTCACCTGTCATTGGCAAGGAAAAGTCAAATTAAAGATAAGGATTAATTACCTAAATCCTATCTTTAATACATTCCCAATTGAAGATTGACTTCAATCAAGTAAGTAATCCCAATTTAAATAGATTAGGGATAATTACTCCATTATCTCAAAATATTATTTCATATTTAATATCTTGAGAATATTTATCCATAAACCTTGGCCAATAGGATGCCGCGATGTGAAGGGTAAAACCCTAACACTATGGCCGACCCTCCCCCTATATATACCCCATATTCTACCAAATTTCAGAAGCTTTTACTACCCTAAAAAAGCCCTAAACACTTTACTCTCTCAGAGAAACTGACTTAGGCATCGGAGATCCATTGGCCTAAACACCCCACCTCGTGGGCGCATGAGGTTTAGGTCTTTGATCAACTGTATTGATTGTTTTGCAGGTGCATTTTCGTCAAGACTGAAGATGGCAGAAATTTGTATCGACAAATTGGTGCTTTCATTGAGAGTTGATTCAAATACTCGAAGAAGCCTCTTGCGTTTGTTTCTTGAATTTTCTGTTACATTGAATTTCTCACACGTCATATCAATTAATTTTTCCTAGAAAAGTTTCTTGATCAATCCCTGGAGAAAGGATATAATGGTAGGAAATTCGGAAACCACAACAAACGGAACCTCATATGTACAAGGGTTTGGACCAAAGAGTAGAGATGAGGACATAAGCCCACAAGACGATCTTTAAGGCTCAACGTGACGGCGAGAGGAGACCCACCGCCGCGGCCACTACCTTGTAGCCTACGGCGAGGACCACCGCAGCATCAGCAGCCCACCGCATTGCGTAGGAACCTATGACCCAAGGCAAAAGGCCCACAACATGGCAGCTGCCACAACAGGCCCAGGGCAAGAATCTTAGCCCACTGCAGCAGCCCTAGCTGACATCTAACGAGCCCAGGCGCTCCAGGCCCAAACCTACAGGGACCCAGCAAGAGCAACCCAAGCCCAACTCGTTGCCAGCTGAGCCCAGCCCATTACCAGGCGAGCCCAAGCCCGCGAGGAAGTAGCGTCGGCCTAGCAAGCATCATATGCCCAAGGCCAGCAGCTATACGAGCGAGCCCAGCGCGCTCATACGCACGGCCTAGCCATCTAGTCGAGTTTGCCTGCCCCGCAACCTGTCCGCTTCCATAATCTGGCCCGCAGCCTAATCAAATATGAGGCTATCTTTAGCGATCCAGATTTCGACCACTGGTCACACGATCAACTTAGGGTTATTTTCACCCGACTTTTCTGCAGGAATGCTCACTTTGGGCTCAAGCTTTGTACTTGCAATCCACTACACTTTCACCACACATGGAGACACCCATTATCCTGACTCTTCCAATCCAAATGGTGAGCACTACCTACCCCAGCAGGTTGCCAATTTGACGAGCGCCCTCGCGCAGTAGACCATCTTGGTGAACCAGCTTTTTGAGCACATTGAGAAGCAGTGCGCCCCCGACGAGGTGTCCCGAAGTAGGACAAGAGCAGAAGAACGTGACTCATTCCAGCAACATCCCGGCAAAGAGTTGCTTAGCCCACTACGAACTGTGCGTTTGGGTAGCATGCACTTTCATTTGGGCCCTCGAGAAAACGTCTTCTCCCACCTAGATGCGCAGAGAATAATTCATTCCCGACGTGGCTCACGAGCCAATGTGTATTCGAGGTTAAGTTCACACTCCGACAAACACTGAGGACATTCTAGGTGAAGCGTCTACACGAGACTAGGCCCACAAAGAGATCCTCATGCGAGGCACTAGAGTAGGCAACCACATGGCGGAACGAGGAAAGCACTAGAGTAGTCCAGCTTAAGTTCCATTGGTAGCCTTGCCAAGTGTGACGACAAGCAGTACAGAATGAACCACGTGCACCGTAATCGCGGCACAGACGAGCAGGACATGCCGAAAAGCAATATGGACCAGTATGTGGGCAGCTGGAGGTTCCACTGCCCCACCATGCGTAAATTCAAGAGGAATTTCAAAGGTTATTAGTAGAGCAGCTGTGCCCGCCATATTTCACCTTGTACAAAGGAGATAAAGATGTGGACAGACACCTAATGCACTACCGAAGTGCCATGACCCTTTACACCAATAACGATGCTTTCATGTGCAAGATCTTTGCCATAACGCTCCAAGGTAAGGTGCAAGACTAGTTCAACACCCTGCCGCCATATTCAATCCAGAACTTCAACAAACTTTCCTTGGTTTTCACTAAGGAATATTCATCCTACCGCTCAATAAAAAAAAAGTCTGACCACCTCTTCAACATGAAGAAGGACCCGAATGAGTCACTCCGCACATACGTCAAAAGGTTTAAGGCGGAGAAGGCGAAGATCGTCGGATGCGATGACAGCATTACATGCTCAGCTTTTCGAAAGAGGCTCCCAACAGATCACCCACTTTTTAGATAATTGGTCATGGGTGAGAACTTGACCCTAGCAGATTCTTATGCTTTGGCAGAAAATCACTCATTCTGGGATAAGGCGAAGCGCTCCCAGAAGCTGCCTGAGAACCTGCGTAAAGACGTAGAGCCGACTCAGAAGAAGGTAGACAATAAATCGCTCAATAACAAGGACAAGCCAAGAAGCAGAAGCAGGGATCGATCCTCGATAAAAGGAGGCTCAGCACCCAAGACGTATACCAAGTTCTCAGTCCCGATCAACCAGACCATTCATGACCTCAAGGACAAGTCGTGGTTCAAGATGTCGCCACCCATGAGTGGAGACACCTCTAAGATGGACCAGACAAAGTATTGCGCATTCCACAGAGTACCGGGGCACACAACTAATGGTTGCACCACATGGATGAAGTACCTTGAGAAGCTCGTGAAAGAAGGCAAGTACGACCAGTATGTCAACAGGCTAGCTGCCCTACCAAGGTGAGAAGTAGATGTCGATGCCTAACACCCATCCAAAATAATTCGAATCAATGACATCTTTGCCGAGTTTGAGCATCTGGGGGCCATCAACAGTTCCAAGAAGAGGAAGATCCAACAGGCAAAATCGGTCTTTCAGGTTCAAGCCATATATGTTATACTATGACTAATCGTTGACTTCACCGAGCAGGACGATGAGGGAGTAGACTTTCCCCACGACGATGCCTTGGTGATTTCTGTTCAACTGGCCCATGCCATCGTTGACAGAATCATAGCGGACAACGACAGCTCAATTAACATCATACAATTGTTAGTCATCCAGAAGATGTGCCTAGAGAGCACAATCAAATGTAAAATGAAGGTTTTGACCAGATTCAACGGACTTACCTTAACTGCCATTGACACTATCACGCTCGACGTGACCAATATTCCAATTGTCTCACCGCAGACCTTTATGATCGTTAACGACCCATCTCCCCATAATGGGATATTAGGCCGACCTTAGCTAGTGAAGATTTAAGCTATGACCTCGATCGAGTATCAAAAGATCCGATTTTGTATCTCAGGAAGAGCAATCAGAGAGATCAAAGGTGATTAGGCCATGTCTCTGTGATGCACTGTACAAGTTCTCAAGGAGATGAAGAATAAGTCTTTCGCCCCTGCAGTAGTAACTGAAGTGCAGAAAGACGGTTCAACCTCCACCAAATAGCAATTACAGCAAGCAAGTTAAAAAGATGGCGTCAAGGTCGACAATGCCTTAGAAAAGGAATCAGGATGGAAACCCGAAGAAGACGCCCGAGCATCATTCTTGACCCCTACCAACACGGTTATGATTGGCTCACGCCTGAGCCTGACGAAGAAGGAAGAACTCACGGTTTTCCTCAGGGAAAATCATGACGTTTTCGCAAGGCCACCTTCTGACATATCAGGTATTAATCCAGCGATAGCTTGTCACAAGCTACACGTAAATCCTACTGCTAAACTTGTGATCCAGAAAAGGTGACATTTCACACCCGAGCAAGTAGCGATTATTAAGGCAGAGATCGACAAGTTACTAAAGGCCGGATTCATTGAGGAAGTGGCGCACTCAGCATGGCTAGCCAACGTCGTGCTGGTGATAAGAAAGGAGAATGGCAAATGAAGAGTATTCGTGGATTACACTGACCTCAACAAGGTAAGCCCTAAAAATAACTACCTAATTCCCCGAATCGACTTGCTTGTTGACTCAACATCCGGGAACTAGCTGCTAAGCTTTTTGGACGTATACTCAGGCTACAGTCAGATTGCCATGTAGGAGCCTAAGAAGGAAAAAATCGCATTCGTGATCGAGCGAAAAACATACTGCTACAAGGTCATGCCATTGGCATCAAGAATGCAGAAGTAACCTGCCAACAACTAGTAAACACAATGTTCAAGAAGCAGATCAGAGTAACCATGGAAGTTTACATTGATGACATCATAGTGAAAGGCAAGTAGCGGTCAGACTATATCGGCAATTTGGCAGAGACATTTGACATCATCCAAGAGTAAAAAATGAAGCTCAACCCAACCAAGTGCACTTTTAGCGTCTCCTCAGGCCGATTCTTAAGGTACTTTGTAACCCAGCAAAGAATCGAGGCTCATCTAAGGCAAATCAGAACGATCTTGGACATAAAGTCTCCTACAACTCTGAAGGAGATCCAAAGTCTGACCGGACGAGCAATCGCACTCAATTGTTTTCTCTCGTGATCCACCGACCGATGTAAGCCCTTCTTCAAGGCAATAAAAAGGGCACAAAAGACAAATAGGACGACGAGTAAGAGAAAGCATTTCAAGACCTGAAGTAGTACCTGACGTCACCTCCACTACCATCCAAGCCAGAAGCAATGGAAAACCTGTACATCTATCTGGCGGTATCAGAGGTAGCGATGAGCTCTGCCCTCATACGAGAAGAGTTGAGGGCCCAACTGTCTGTATTCTATACATCCAAATCTTTCATTGATGCAGAAACCAGATACTCGAAGGTTGAAAAGTTAATTTTGGCGTTAGTTGTTGCAACTTGGAAGCTCAGACTTTACTTTCAAAGGCATCCGGTCATCGTCATGACCTAATACCCACTGTGATTAGTTTTGCATAGTCTAGACGCTTCTCAACGAGTGAGAAACTAGGCGAACTTGGTCAATACGGCTTAGCATAACAACCTCGCATGACAATAAAGGTTTGGGCATTGGCGGACTTCGTAACAGAATTCACCCCAAGCCTGAAAGACGCAGCAACTCAACCTGAAAGTGCCCTAGAGGCAGTCGAGCACGCTGTAGCCACACCAGCCCCACATGCAGGAGATTTCTGGCGTTTGCACATTGACAGATCATCCAATTACCAAAGATTGAGAGCAAGCCTCGTTCTCACTATCCCATATAGCTCACTACCTGTCAGCAAACTCCATTTGTAGACGAGTCATTGGCCATTCATGCAGTGGACGATTGACCTGGTAGGACCAATGTCGCCTGCTACAAGGGGCAGATACATGATGATCACAAAATGGGTCGAAGCCGAACCCATGACTACAACTACCCAGACAGACATAGAGCGCTTCATATAGAAGAACATCATCTGTTGCTTTGGCA